GCAGTCGCCAACTGTAATCGAAAGTATAGATAGTGGAGCTATTAAACAGGTTTGATTTTTTCAATCACTCGTTTATACTTATTAGATGCAAAGCAGCGGACTTTGTGACTTTGAATATCGTATTTCTTCTTGAAGGTTCTATTTTCAGACTGTGGTTTCGGATTGTTCATTTGTTGCATCGCTTGCAATTTCTGCTCGGTATGAACGTAGATTTGGCAAACGTTTAGTCACTAGGTAAAGGCAACTTAAAACTTATTTGACGTTTGTTTAATTTTCAGTTAAGTTCTTTACAGGCGACTATACGGCAGGATTTCCTGTTGCTTTCTTTCCAGGACAAAATTAGCCAGTGATATTCGCTAATTTTACAAGTTAACATAAACCCTTCTCAAATATAATTCATCTTCGGATTGTACGATAAGCTGATGTACCTTTTTTTTAGCATTATATATCCTCAAAGTAAAAATGGAACTCCAGTTTATAACCCCTGTGGGAAGTATATGGTTAAGCTACACATTAATGGTTGTTGGAGGAAGGTAAGCTGATTAGTCAAGGGTAGTTTACTGAATTAGATGAATCTTTCAGTGAGTCAATTTTGAAATTTTATTTGTTTTTTAGAATGTGTTTCGCCATTTAAGTTCACTGCAGTTTGCAAGAATATGATAAACAGGCCAACACAGGCTTAGCTTTAGGTGGCGGGGAAGCTAATTAAGATCAGGACTATGTAAGGTACATTAAGCTGTTTTTAGAAAACTGTAATAAGAGCAAGGTGGCAGTACAACTGCATAAGGGGTTCTAGTTTTTTATAATTCTGCGTAATAAAAGCTACTTCCTAATTTTGGCTCTCTAGCAGGAGGGTTATATTTGCATGTTGTAAATTCTGGCATTACGGGTACTTCTATTTATTTCTGAAAGAGTTAAGGCCACTTCGAGTTTAAGATTTGTATAAACCAACTTGTGTACGGCATACGAAACAGTTTTTTCTAATGATAAGTTAATAGTTTAAATGTTTGACAGTGGATGTTTTTACTTCGTAGGAAGGCGGGAAAGACGGAATCAGCTTCTAACTGAAAGTTTTGGGCTGCTTCAAGCAATTAACTTCTTTGAATTTTTGGGAAAATAACTTAAGAATAGCAGTTAATGAAAGAAAAAGAATAGCAATTTTGAAGCTTTAGCGAAAAATGAAGTCTTCAATTTTAAAATTTTGAAATTTAAATTAAATTTCCTATTTGTTTCGTCGGATTACACGTCGTAAATATAGATTTGAACTGAGTTTTCTACTAGTGAGGACCTGTAGAGTTTTCGCAATAGTTACATAAGGGAATTGGTTTTGCCACTCGCAATGTCCGGACTGGGTACCGTACTATTAAGTTGCAAGATGCTACGTTCTAAGTGAGATAATGATAAATGCTTATTCGCAGCTTAGATGATAATCGTAACTAAATATTTGCAGATTTTGTTTACAACATTGGGTACATTATTGTGAGCACTGGCGTAGCTTGTTCTATATTCATCAGCGGACATAATATTTTTATTAAATTTTATTATTTCACTTCACATTTCGCAACTTTGTGGTAGTTATTGCAAAAATTGCAGGTTGTAATTGATGATCGGTTTCCAATTGGAGAATATAATGAATTTCTTTGTTCATACAGTCAAAAAAAGTAATTTTTGTTCTTGTGTGAACAATTAGAAGAGTAATGCC